GACATGGATATGCTGTGATGGGAATGCAGAGTGAACATTAATATGTATCGCCCAAGCCACAAAAATCATGTAAGAGTCAGACGTGTGAGACTCGAAAACTGACACCCGATCCCAACTTCTGCACATGAAAAAAACACGAAACTTGAGTTTGAAAACTGGTGTCAGAATATACTAGGTTAGTTCTCAGCTTCCGTTTTCAAATTTAAATGCCACGTGATTCGGACCATGCTTCCAGTTTTCGTAACTGCTGTAACACAATTGCTTTATACATTTTGAGTTGAACCAAAATCTGCCGATTTACTATTGCTTGATTCTGATTTTTTGAATGAAAAACGTGATAGCCCTTCAGAGAGGGGGGATCCACGCAGAAATATTCACGAAATGAATCTAAAAATATCTAAATATTCGTAGCGCTATGAGGTTGGAAATATGGAAACATGACCGATCAAAGTAGTTCAGCAGCTACCAATAGTCAGCCAAACGTTTTACCCGATACGCGGTCTTGCTGTTTTAGACTGGAAAGATTCAATTTTAGTCCTTGCCATATTATCTTGATTTGTGAATCCATGTAAAATTGAATTCGCCTCATGATAGCTTTTTCATTATCAAAAATGAAGGCGCATGCATGTTCACTAAACGCTGTAAGTACTTCTAGTTAGCATGGCACAAATTTTGCTGCATTTAGTATTCCTAACTCCCACCTGACTAGGTAGGTCATCCAAACATTACGTCACTGAAACGTCCCAATCACGTATAGAGCTTGCCAAAAAAAGTTACGATCGCCCGCAATAAAAGCCAACGCCAGCAATCTGTCTCATATAGGAACTGTTCCGACGAGAAACATGAGAAATAGCTTGCTTGATTTCGGGTGATCGTCTGCGCGTTTCAGACGACAGTCCGTACATTTTAAGCCTTATCTCGACACTGTGACTTTGTAGTGACGTAATTTTTGGATGACTTAGTCAGGTGCGAGTTACAAATAACATATGCAAAAATGGATATGCCAGGCCTAATAGAAGTAGCTGATAGGTAATTAGCTGATGCTTCGGTAGCTGATGTTTCGGTAATTGTGTATTGGTGGATATTTGTTGCGATCTCTAACCAAAAATAAGGTCAGTTGTGCAGCTATATTTAGAATAAGAGAAGATGACGAAGATACAGTACGCATTAAACAGTATACATATATGAGTTTGCATTGAAATCAACATTTTTAATAATGAAATTGAAATTTGACACTTTTTTCCTCGAACATACAAACAAAAATATGATTTGATTATAAAAAGTGAACAAAATGCATGCAACCTAGTTTATTAATAATATGAACAATTTTAAGTACGTGTTCGAAACTTCTTTTCAGAATACTCAGTAGTAAAGCAAAATCATACTGATAATATAAATTACGGCAATATTACAGGAAATTTCATTTTTGCATTTAGAGGTTCAAATTATTTCTTGGGGGACATTGCTTGCATTGCTATAGGTTCTCTTATTTCATCGCCCATTTCTTCAATTCGATGCGATCTATTTTGCCAAGTATAGATTTCGGAATATGATTGACAAATTGGATCCCGCCACGAAGATGTTTGTAATCGACAAGTTCATCTATAAAAATAAAATTGTACTTTTATTACAGAACATGTGGAATACAGTAAAATTTATATGTAGTCGGTACTTTTAATCAATTCATGCAGTTCATCCGTTGTGACCGATTCCATTTTTCGTACAACGAATGCTTTTGGTAACTCCCCACATGCTTCATCTGGCACACCAACCGCTGCAGCATCTTTTACACCAGGATGTTTCATAAGTACATGCTCTATTTCTGCAGGTGGAACCTGAACATGGGGAAAAAAATTAATAAAATAGTGAGAAATTGAAAGTGTCGAATCTTCTAAGTCAGGGGTTCTCAAACTTTTGGTGTTGCGGAGCCCTTGAAGAGTTGACTATCATTCACGGAGCCCCAAAATAAATGTTAAAATTGTTACTTTCCGATTAATATTCCTGAGTAAGTTAAACGTACTTTACCTAACTTAAATGCTAAACCTTTTTAATAGGGTAATACAAGTCATATATAAATGTCAATTTCAAAAATAAATTAAATATACTAAAGCTGTAAATTTGACACTTGACAAACATATTAATAAATTGGGGGGTCGAATCTTTTACTTTTTGACATTTTCGGAGGACTTGAAAGGCCACTAATAATGTGCGCGATTGCATTTTGTTACAATCGCCGATTGTTTTCGTCAGCATGGCGTGTTTTTAAACATCTTTACGTCGGTGTTTATTCTCCCTAAATCAAAAATTTCCTTCGGCATATATATACATGTATTGTTCTACAATGACGACGATAATTGCTTATTTGTTCTCGTGGGGAATTATGAGTTCAATGTGAAAAACATGTTACCGTATTATAGTCATCTGCGACGAAATGCTAAAGATAATAATTATTAAAGAGGTAAATCCGCAGCTCAAATTTCTTGATTGAAAAACGGTATTCTAAAATATTAAAACTTGAAATGGAAAATCACACTATAAGTTTAGTTTCAGCAGACTCATGTCAGATTAAAAATGCTTTTATAGGCATTGTAAATCACAAAATTTGATGTTTTGTTAGTTTTTTATTGGTTATTCATCGTAGTAACTGCGAAATTGAAACACAGTCAATTGTACGCATGGTGTAACTTTTTTCACTCTGAAACTACCAACGGAGCCGCATGCAATAAAATAAATTTCAATCATTCGTATTTTGCCCAGATCTTGTGATTTTTCAAACAGCGATCTTATCTTGCTTAAAAATAATCTCGAGTGCGAAAAAACAAATCAAGTTTGACAAATCGCAAAAATACAACTCCAATTTATTCATAGTTGGCAGTTTATCACGTATTTTATGTTATTTTAGAAAAGTATTCTTTCCTTTTAGCAATCCTAATAGTAATTTCGAATGAAACGTGAGTAAAGTTGAGCAGAAATAAATTATTACGACAAGACACTTTAAATACTCGCATCGTCATGCAATGAATATTTTACGCAACAGAAATCTCGTTATCCGTTTTTTTCCAATTGCTAAATGATGTTGCGCGGAAATTTCCGATTTCAATTTTGAACCCTTTCAAGAAACCTGACTGCGCTCCAGCTCATAAATAACGTCATTTTTAATTCCGCATCTTTACCATATTTCAAGGCTATATTATTGTCAAATTTTATCAAAGCTGTTCTTGCTTCTTTGAACAGTTACAAAATTAGCCAGTATTTTAAAAAGTAATCGAATAGCTCGCGGAGCCCTTGGGTTCCTCTCGCGGAGCCCTGGGGCTCCGTACGGAGCACTTTGAGAACCTATGTTCTAAGTAACAGTGGGTTAACAATATATTAATGATTAAACATGTCATAGTATAAAACAAGGCGAAACAATTTACACACGATCATAAATATATCTTGATATATATCGAGAAGTCATAAAATTCAACATAAGGACCAACTTAAATAACGTATTTTTTAAAAAAAAAACTATTCTGAAGAAAACCGAATTTTTTTTTTTGAAAATCAAAACGTACATTGGCGGGTAAATATGTGATTGGAAAGTTTTTTTTTACCTGGAACGTGTTATATTTGATAACTTCCTTGAGCCGGCCTACCACAAAAAGCATTTCATTTTCAATATGTCCAATATCGCCAGTGCGAAGAAATCCGTCTTTATTTATTGCTTGTTCTGTTGCTTTCGAATTTTTATAATATCCAGCAGACATCTAGAAAAACGTATATGAGATAGTTTGGAATGATTTCTTTGATTCTCAATGTCTTTGTTAATTCTAATGATGATCGTTACGATCAAATGTTGTTAACAGTTGAATTGGAATCGCTACCTATATACATTTAGATTAAAATGTGTGAATATATCTTCTACTAATTTATTCTACAGAAAAAGTGGTAAAATAATGACGAAATAATCTCATGCCTTACATGTGTACTTTTGACCCAAATTTCGCCGTCTTCGCCAGATTTCAACTCTTTTTCCGTATTTGGATCAACAATCTGTAAAACATTTAAGAGTCAAACAAAAGAGCTCTGTTTAAATATATGGACACGAAGAGCAAAATGAACTAGTACGGGTAAGCAATCTGCTTAGATTACCGGTACCGTAGTCTTAACGACTTCCCCTGACCCCCAGATAGCAACGAACGCGAACGCAGTGTGAAATTTTTAATGTTGATGACGTCATCGCATACAAAACAAGACAGCGATGCTCAAATATATGAAAACGAAGACCAGTAGTCTACTTTACCTTGTACAATACCAGTACCGTCAAAATACTTCAAAGCGTAATAGGAAGGTAGCACAATTTCGAATTGAAAAACGAATCACATAGAGCCCAAAGGATTAAGTTTTTGTCTTACTTTATATAACGTAAATTTTATATAACTCTATTTTCGTATTACAAAAATCGTTAAATTAATTCACCATAATTTCAGAATTGACTGCAACTGAACCAGCTGAATCAATGAATTCATCTACTTTGTCATTCCAAGATACAGGAAAGCATTCAGTTTGCCCATAACCTGAAATACCAACACGTTAAAAATTAAATGATTTAGGTACATATCTACTTGCAAAAATAAGTATGCATCGAAATTGGTGATATATGAATTGGAATTGATATATGTACATACAAGATGAAATACAAGAAGAACGAACATGATATTGCACAGGTAGTTTCAAATTAAGAATGAATGTCGCCAGTAACAGCCAGCTATTATGTCTAAAACAAACTTGTACGTTAAGCTCGGGTTCATGTTTAAAATAATATCTATTTCCAAAATATTAGTAAACGATTTTATAAAACAAATTACACAAGCTGCCAAAAGTAATAAACGATTGTTTATCGAGTTATTCCAGATACTCAATTCATTTCCTTTCAAGTTAGACTTTGTTTTCCACCTTTACTATAAAAGTTTATAAAAATTTGTCAACTAACATGGAAATACTCTAATGTTGAACCTATCGATAACTTCTTTCAATGCTGTGGGTGGAATTGATGCACCTCCAATAAATGATGATTTCCACGACGAGGTATCATACTTGTGATGCAACTCTGTCTGGGATAGTTTTAGCAAATTTGGTGGCACCAGAAGCATATGATTTGCCTTGACGACATGAATGAATATAGAGAAAAATATGATTAAATTGCAGCGAGAAATATTCTTCCTCCAACATAATGTAACCTTGGAAGCCTTGGTGTCCGACGAAGCGTTCAATGAAAACCAAATATACTGTAAAAAGATCTTAGTTGGAAAACATGCACGTATACATCCGCATCAAATACCCATCAAATGAAAACCAAATGCTTTTCGACGTTCAAATATGTTGTCATGAACTGGCACATTTGAGTCTGATTTTGAAATCGCTACAATATCATATTACTATCACCAGAGTAAATAATATAGCAAACGAATGGTATATGGTAAAAGATATTTTTCCAATACCTTGTATTTTTGTATCGCAGCCAGTGTACCGTCAACGTCAAACTTTTGATCAATGATAACACTTAACCCGCCTTGCAGTGCAACAAGTAAGTGAAAATAACCACCTCCATGATACAAAGGTCGTTCGTTGTAAAACACATCTCCGCGTTGATAGTTTAAATGGTGCCTCAAAAGAATTCAAAATGTTGAGACATATCACATCGACTTACAGTCGTGCGTCGTCATAATTCATATCAAGTTTTGAAATAGTTTTTGTAACACCAAAAATGCAGTAAATGACATATCACTCAACTAAAATATTCTTATATGCTCATAAGTTAGGAATACGTTTTCTATTCATATAAATTTTTATATACAAAATACTACAACTCGTCTGAGTTAAGGGTGCAATTATCCATATACTTATATCTAGTTTTGCGAAATGAAGCGACTAAGCAATACTTTGGCATCAATATTCTTTGCGAAGGTTTATTGGAAAATGGCTTACAACGACACATTTCAAATATAGCGAGTATGAGATAGTTTATGTATATTAATAAATATTGTATTGAAATTTCCAAACGGAATGAATTTAATTGTTATAAAGTGATTTTCCGTGCTTTGGTTTAAGCAGAATAACGATACGATATCAGAAAAGTTCTTCTTACCAAATGGCTAATATCATCGCAATCGTACCATAATGAGTGTGCATAACACATTTCGGCATTCCTGTAGTTCCACTTGAATATGGTAAGAACGCTAAATCTTTCTTTGGTGATATTTTGCAAGTCGGAACAATGTTTCCTTAAAACGTTATTGACAATCATGAAAAATTGAAATCAATATTTTTTACAATTAGAATTAATTTCTTACCTTTGTTATCTTTATTTGAGATTATAATGTCATCCCAAGTTTCGAATTCATTACTTTTTCCAATGACTATGATTTTCTAAAAAGAAAATACGAGTTTACACAGTACGCTTAAACAACCTCGATCGATATTCTAAGTCAATGAATTTGCCTCTTAACACACATAAAATAAAATAAATACATGGACAATAAAAATGATCTTGTATTTTTTTTTATTAATATCTATAATTTAAAAATCCTGAATACCTGAACTTGATTCTCTGGGTTATTATTGAGTACTTGCTTTATAGTATCGATGCTTTTTTCAGATGCGATAACTATTTTTGGTTCGGTGATTTTGAAGATATGCTGTATTTCTCCTGCAAAACAAAAAAAAATTGTTCAAAATTAACTCGTGAAAGAACTCATATCAATGAAATGATTCTACTTTGAACAAAACCATTGTGTTCGTTTGTTCAAATATCGGTCTAAATCCAAAGCACACAAACGGAACTTTATTGCGCTTCATGGTCTCGCGCAGGTAACATCCTTTTGTCCATCAGAACGTCTACACTGTATACGATTGACAGATATCTTCAATTCGGCTTCCAACTTCGAATTTGGATATTTTTCGTTTTTTCGGTCATATAGCTTTATTCCACCACCTTACCCGAGTTATAATAAATCAGGCAGCAATCCCGAACCCGAAATATTCCGGTCCTTCTGATAGAATTGTATTTCCTTACTTATTATTTGATATCAGTGGACGCTTCCGCATAGCCTTGTTTAGAGCGAACTGCGCGAATAGCATTCTTATAATCAAATTCTCAACCTGACCATTAAATAATACAATTCAAGAAGCAGAGTTACCTTCTTTGTATGACGGATTACAAAGTGATATCGCCGCCCCACAAGATACCACACCAACCGTTGCCACTATATATTCTACACAATTCTGAGTGATCAGACACACAACATCTCCCATGCCAATCTTTTGCTTTTGAAAAAAGTTCCCACAGGATTGTATTTGTTCGTAAACTTGTCTAAAAGTAAGCTGGTTTTCTTCGTTGATGTTGTCAATCTGAATTAAAAAGGAAATATTAAAAAAATGTGTCTAAGCAATTACACACAACAAGCGGTTTTTGCCTTTTATTGCTACGTTAAATTTTTTGTGAAGCAACTTAAATGAAGTTACAACTGTCTCAGAACAGTTGATTTTTTTTGTGCAGATTCTGAGAATCGATTGATCAGAATCATGTAGAAAGTAAGCGACTTTATTGCCTCAACTGACCTATTGTGAAATTTACATATATATATATATATACTATGTATTCGGGTAATAAATCAATTTCATTGTTCAGGGTGTAGAGATGACACCTCAATTCTGCATAATTGTGGGGTTTGATCAACATTATATAAAAATTATAATATATATACAATCCGCATGCGGCACAAGTTTAGAAATATACAAGCAAATACAATTATGATACTTACCAGAGCAATATCGTCACCATATTCTTTTATACGCTCGAGAAAAAAGTCGCTCAACGATATTTCTGGAATATCAAAATTTCCATGCTTCGATCTCAAAGGCATTTTGCTTGTGATGCTTATCACTATATCCAAATGCCAATAGTTAGCAAATGGAATTTTTAAACCTTGTCAGTTCAAGATATGTTTATACAGCCCACTGTGTTTTTTTTTTTGATGTAACATACTCATTACTTGCTTGCTACGAACATTGTAGGTTAGTCCACTAGATTAGTAAACAATCTTATCAAGTCAAGTTAGGCTCCGAACTTACATGTGTTTGCTATTTCTTTACTGTTTACTCAAAAACGACTGGACCAGTATTCTGCCTGAAGGGATGTGTAATCAAACATGTTTCGGTAGATGTTATTTACGGTATGGTACAAAACCTGTTTTAAATGTTTTAGATCTCCAATTTGTATACCGGGAATCATCATTCATCAAAACAGCGCTAAACAGTTCTTTTTTGTTCCAGAAAGTGAATTATAGATGAGCACGTTATTCCAAGCCATAATCTAGCTATAGGTTGCTAACTTATTGTGTTTGGAATGTTAAAAGTATTTCAGAGTCGTCCGACCTACAACAGCGTTGTAGTGTGTGTTTATCCTTGGTTCAGGCTTGGCCCATCCTTGTTGCAAGTTACAGTCCGGCGACGAGTTTGTCATTGCTTTTTTTGTGTTTGTTTTCCTTGTCGATGTAGATGACATATCATGCGTATATTTGCGCTTATATTTCTCTCGCTGCGTATAACAATGTCATGTCAGGGCTATATCATTCCCGCTGTGGGAAACACTCGACGAGAAAAGAAAGGTCAAACAAGCATATCCGATTATACCAAGTGCATTTTAGTGTCCGCATAACTTTTCACTGAAACAAAACCAAATATGGAAAAATGGCGATTACGAGTTGAGTTCGATGCCGATGAAGCTTTGAGCCGTATTTCGGTCTGACGTGGAGGGGTAAAATTACGATGACAACGATGTGTCATTATGAGATGAGGAACCGACAAAGCAAGATTCGGTTTTGAAACTCTACTGGTTTTAAAAGTATTCATAACATATGCGAATGCACATGTTTTACATGCTGTTTTCCATATTTCAGATATAGAATCGGCGGCCGACGTTCTTTCAACAAAAATGTACGAAGGTTTCGCGAAGCACGATCATTTGCGTTGAAAGTGACGTGTATCAGTAACTCGCAAAAATTGAATTGAAGATTACCGCAAGAAAGTGGAATATTGGCGATAAAAACTTCGTGTTAACTTTGTATATATTTATCTATTTTACAACAGTGTGATTTTTATGTGTACAAATTTTTTAAAGTTCCATGTATGTTCGTATGTATATTAGAGGGACCGGTTACGTATTTTAAGCGACGGTTGCCAGAATACGTACAAAACAATCTTTTTAGAGATACCTAAGTCAGTGCTCCTGATATAATTTTTCGTTTTTTATGGAACCCCAATTAAAAAAAAAATTCTAACTTTGGCAATTGAATTACATTTGATTCGCTTCGGAGGAGGAGCAGGTCACCGTTGTTATTATTTCGCCTCACATAAGAAAATATGGTGCTCCCGAAGTATGCGAACCAAGATGGCGGACATCGGAACGTAACATGGGTAACAGGTTAGGGTTAGGCGATAATTTTTTTCCAATTTTTCTTATTTTAGTCCTATTATCAGTTCAAAGACTAGCCAAGAGCCTCCCGTAGTATTTATACCTAAAATTATGGCCTAACCCTAACCTAGTACACATATTACATTCCGATGTCCGCCATCTTGGTTCGCATACTTCGGGAGCCCCGAAAATATACTATTTTGCTTCATCTGTATTGACTAAATATTGAAAAGTTGGGTTTCACACTATTTATAATATATTCCAACAAAAGCTGAACAACAACTCTAGTTTCTAGTATATACTCTCTCTAGTCTCGAGCAATATCTACATACTTCGAACATTGTGTAACTATGGTGCAACAATAGCGTTTTTGTTAGTTCCATAACAATGACTAAAGTGACGCAAAAACCGAGAATATTTCTGTTTTGTCCATTAACTGCGCTGTGACTAAACCTCATGTTTAACGATCTGGCCTACTTGGACTTGGACAACATGCTGGAAGCAAGAAAGGATTTTTCCTGAAAAAAAAAAACACGGAACCCCTAGGGATCCCTATAAACTCACAGAACCCCACTGCATGTACTATGGAACCCTAGGGTCCGCGGAACCCCTGTTGAAGAGCACTGACCTAAGTGATGTTTCTAGCGTGTTTGAACAAAGAGAAATGACTATTTCAATTAAGGGTGTTAAAATAGGCTCAAATTGGTGCACTGTAAAAAATTTTGTAATTTTACAGCCATTTCTTTGTAAAAAATACGATGGTTTGGCAGTATTTTGGACGAGCAACTATTTATACGTATTTTTACATCATCGTGTTGTAATTTCACCGCTTGTACGATGTAAAATTACATATACTGTTGCATAATCATAAAACAAACATACGGTTGTTAAATATACAATGAATTATACGTAACATACAAAAACGGCTGTACTGAAAACAGCTATCTCGCGGTTATGTTAAAATAAGTCCACTTGGTAGTAATCAAAAGCATAGAGCTCAGAAGACAGTCTTCCACATATTATCAGCAAAATGCATGCCAATAAAAAATACATTGGTGCGACGAATTTGGTTCCAAACTGATACAAATTTGGCTTCGCGTCATAAGGCGCAAGTCATACAATGCTACGTAAACCTGCGGCTTCGTATGTCATCTCCACATAGAATTTATAGCTTACGATAAAAAAAAATCCTAATATTGCACTTAATATTATATCGAGTGGAAGGATATTTTATTTTAGGCATCATGTAAACTGGTGATTCAACCAGAGCCATTATATAATGGCTCTGATTCAACTGACAGCACTCATTCTCAAACGGCAGTCACGACTCCAACTACTGGCGAATCTGAAGGTTGTAAAACAGAAAGTATGGAGAAAGAAGTACCGTTACCTAGGTTGTAAACTCTGGACTACTGGTGCTTGTAGACTACCGGTAGATCTTCAGGTTTTGGAAGGTGAGTTAATTTATGCCACATCTGTCATTATTAATCAATTTTGCATTAATTGGATTGGCCTGTTAACTACAGCATTGCCGTACTAGATGTCCCATCCCTGCATTTAGACAATGAGCTATTGTAGGCCTACTGCTGTACTGTACCATATTCTGTTGTTTTACTTTTAATTGCTCATGTTTAATCTTTGTTACCGGTATTCTATTTATTGGAGTTCTAAACCAAGGTAGTCTACACCAATGCAGAAAGGTCTCTTATTTTTTTTAAATTTCAGACAATGTTAGCCTAATTCTTAAAAAGCACAAAAGGATTTACAATAGCCTATTAGCAGACTGGTAAAATTGTAATTTCAGTGACCCTGCGATTTGAAATGACTGATTCGAGATTTGAACTAGACTAATCTAAAATAAAATGCATCTGGAAAGACATCTCTAGTGAAACTGCAAGATTAGCTACTGCAGTAGACAGTCATGAACTTTTCATGCCTATATCATTTTCATACATCTTCAATCTGCTAATTCTTTTCAGTTCGAAAGTGGACAAACATATTCTGCCATTTTACCTCTGGGGCATTCACATTTGGCCCTTATTAAGTCTGTCATTGTATCAACACTACAAAAGAATTTCTGGAAAGATGAGGAACTGGTAGCCTATTGGTGTTTCTTTTTTCGATGGCAATGGTATGGACTTAACTGTTTAATAAAAAAAGCCTTGCTTATAAATATGAGCATCATGTTACTGACCTGTATATAGTGAGCCTCCTTGCACTAAGTTGATTTTTGTGCAATGAATAGACAAAAAAATTCAAATATAGTTTTTTGTCTTTCTATATAACAATTTTCATTGTTTGGAGAAATAATGATATAATTGCGAGCTTCAGAAATGATATAGCCTATAATAAATTTAACTTCTTCTGAGCATTGAATATACTATGAATCTACCACTTTGCTAATGGAATCATTTTACCCCAGCAGATCAAGTTATAACATATGTAAATATGTTGACTTCTCACTCAACTACTTACATTTTATACCAGCTATGCCCTTTTTTTTCAGCCGAATTGCCAAGATAAACAGCCTGTGCAAGAAAAAGTGACAGAGGGCCACTGCAATGTTGAATCTTTTAGATGGTTTCCACCTATTTGAAGAGATGAAATGAACTATTTTGCTGGCGGAGACGATCACTTCTCGAGTGTATTTGATACTATTTCGTTCAGTGGCGTAGCCAGCCCAAAATTTTGGGGGGGGCCAAATTTGAAAATTTTAGAAATTATATTGAGTTTAAAACACCCGTTCTTCAAGCGCAAAACAACAACAGTTGGTCAACAAGCAAACTGATTCAATTACTCAGCTGGATATTGTGAATACAAAATCCATTAATAAACAATTTTTTATTTGAAACAACAAATATTAACAACGCAATTTAAATAAGTAAAATACATCGCCCCGATTAAAAGTCCATCCTTCGCTTCCCGATAACTATGCTCGACACAACTCGATTAATTTTCTCCTCGGTGACCATTTCACGGTGACAGTGAAGCACACACAAATCAGAAAGGCGATTGGACGTCATTGATGAGCGCAGCCGTGTCTTTACCCGTTTCATGCAGGAGAAAGACCGCTCAGCCTCAACGATGGTTGCTGGTAGCGTCATAACGATCTGTATTGCGGTGTACACGCTTGGATAATCTCGAGAGCTCAGAAGAAGCCCCTCCAAACATTCGTCGTCAACGTCGGAACTTAAAAAAGTTCTCCACAGTCTCACTTCATTCTGGAGGTTATCCAATAAATACAGATGCTCTACCTCATCCACGTGAACTGGTTTGTTCGGTGGAAGAATTGATAGCAATGAAAAAAATGATGGGTTGTCAATGAAGCGTTCCCGAATAGAGCAGCTCAAGCCGTCGACGTATGGGAGATATACGGAACGTTTAAAATACTGGGATGCTAAATCAGCACAGACATTGTCGCGATACACTTGTACTTCGACTACTCTGGGTATTGTCAACTCTTTCAAGCCAGCTATTTCACAAGCTTCTTTGTAAATATTCAATGCGATTTCAGAGTCATTGCGTTCTTCAGCGATAACGCTCTGAAGAGAGGATGTGAGGTTCTTTACTGACGGCACACTGACTCCGACCGCCTGAAGTGCGCGCGCTAGTGACTCCATTAGTGCCGAATATCGACCAATCAAACATACGGCGTAGATAACCGACGACTTTTCTAGAGCAGATTTCAGAGAAAAAGCCTTCGCCCGCGTCTCACTGTTAGCATCTCTCGCCAAAGAATCAAGAGCCTCAAGTACTCGTTTGAAGTTGCATTTGAAGATTCGGATGCTCTTGTACTTCTCAGACCATCTGGTGGGGCAGAACAAAGGGATGTTAATTCCTAAACCCGCGCGCCTTTTAGGGCTCTCCCTGAAAAAACGAAATAGTCTCACGAATGATATCACAGGTGCTTCTGATGATTGCAACTTTACTTTGGTCATTTATGACCAAATTCAAACAATGAGAAGCGCAGTGCACAAATATTGCGCGCGGATATTTATCACGAATGCGTTTTTGCACACCGCTGACGTGACCTGCCATTGTCGTTGCACCATCATAGCCTTGCCCCACAAGTTTTTGCAAATCCACTCCTATACCAGAGAGGTGGGTCAAAATATTTGAGGAAATTGATTCGGCAGAAACAGAATCCATTTCCACTAATCCTGTGAAGCGCTCGCACACTTCACCACCTTTCACATACCTCAAAACGATGCTTAGTTGTTCTTTCCCAGAAATATCACATGATTCGTCGGCTATTACGGACCCAAACGATTTATTAGCCTCCATAACGATATCTTGCACTATCATGTTGCTTGCTACCTTGAGAATTTCATTTTGTATCATCGGGCTTGTATACTTAGCGTTTCCGGCCATTCGAGCGAAATGCCTTTTCAAATCTTCATCCCCTGCGTCGATACGAAATAGAAGAAGGTTCACAAAATTTCCACTATCCCCGGAATGTCCGCGCAAGGATATGTTACCCGAAGCACAGAACATGACAGTCTTGACAATGGAAGTCATTATTCGTCTGTTTTCTTTTGTTTGCGTAGCGTATTGGGCCTCCATGTTTGCACGCACATTTTGACCAGTTTCCATGCTTTTGACAAAATTTTTCGCAGCTATATTTGATTCTCGGTGGTAATTTGTGTCTCGATGTGCTACAGCCTTTTCCATAAATTTTTGTAGTCAATGCATGGTCTTGTAACAAAGGCAGTGTCCCTGAGAGTTCCATGCTTCAAACGTGCTTGCATGACTATGCATATCTTACACAAACCACTCCCATCAGAGAGTTGGGTGTAAACTAACCAACTGCAAAATCTGTTATCGTCAAGCCATTTTTTGAGAAATTTACGACGACTTTGTCTAACAGTATCCAGAATCGTCACGTTTTTCGGACCATCCGAAGTTAGAAGCCTGTATCTCTCCGCGTCGGTAAGCTGTGTATGTTTCTTAAGAACAAATCCAAGATCGTTTGTTCTCCCTTCGTTGATTATTAGTTCATCTTCGGGAATAGAAGTGATAGACGTAACTGACGTAACCGGTGCATCCACAGCCTGAGAAGCGCTTATTGATGTATTTGAGGAAAGCGAGTCTTTATTTCGCTAGAAAAAACTATCTAATTTCGCCTGTTTAAATTTAGCCATCGAAGTAATTTGGTCATCAAAATTCAAGCGTTTCGAATAAAAATCCGGCGAGAACAAATCAAGACCGAGCAACTGACCGAAAGCTTGCGAAACAGTCTTTCCCATACTGCTCATAAGAGCGAACGGTCAAGTCTTTGTGACGTAACAATGACAATCAACAAGCGTGACGAGACAAGATGCCACAAAACTGGTGGATTAGGAATGGAATTCTTGAAAATTTTTGGGGGGGCCATGGCCCCTCTGCCCCCCCCCCCCCCCCCCCCCCCTGGCTACGCCTATGATTTCGTTGCTGATATTTGATCACATATTTTATTAAAAGTGATTTCTTTTCAATTGTATTTCATTTCTTCAAGTGCTGGCATGAGGGTTAATCGAGTTACTTTGCGGATGTTGTTTAGTTTTACAACTTCTTCTTGTAGTTAAGGTTAGCATCGCTACGGCTGTAAAAATCGGAGACATCCAACCCACTGCTTTTGCCTTGTACATACATTTGGTTGTAAAATTACAAGCGCTTGCAACGATACAATACATCTGAAGTTGTATATTGTGTTCACAACGAAGTGCATGGCATCGCTGCTGCCGCGCGTTTGGTTGTAAATCGCCCTTAATATTTTTTACAGTGTAGACAAAGACACCTTCATTGATTTTATTTTAGATTTCGAATAGTATATACAAAACTCCAATCAAAACGCTCTATGCCTACAATGACTAACACTATAAAAAATAAAATAAAAAAATTGCAAATTATATCCATTTACGTCGACCTCAAATTATTAAAAACAAACATGATATCGTAAATTCGCTTCATTGATACATTTCTGACAATTTTTGATTTTACGATCATCAACACAAATTCTACAAATCCTATTATGGGTTAATTGAAAAGTAATTATTTAAGTCGTAGCCATGGAAATGTACATTCTATTGTGGGATAATATTAGTTTCGTTGAAGTCGGCTTGCCAAAATGGTTGAAATTAAATTTATTGCATAATTCGTTCATGACAAAGATAAATAGTTTTTAACGATTTGGGTAACTTTTGGGTTTCCATTGATAATGCGCTATTTAGCTATCCTAATAGACAAAATATGGTAGTGTTTTTTCGTTAACAGAAACTACAAACGACAATTCATTGAAATGATAAATTAACAGTTTTAAAGTAGATGTTCTTACATGTTTTTGCGCATAACAATATATTGTCGACATACATGGTTTTGAATTATTTTCTCATTATCCCATTCAATCTTAATTCAAGTCTTATTTACAATCCAATTCAAAATGCTTTCACAGTCGAAGTATGCTATGTTAATGAATGTCATTATAATAAGAAGTATATATATATGTACAGCGGGAAAACATTCTTTCAGCAGTCTATTCCTTTTAAAAAAATTTTCATCCATTGTCATTGTTGGAAACGTCGAATCTCATTGTCATTAGTGTTTCCCGTCTTCCTCTGTTGTGTCCATCCTCTAGATTGAATAGATCAAGAATGTAAAATTTGCTTTTCTAATTTTATTGTGGATATCAAAAGTATCCGACTACATTTTGTTGAGCTATGTTCGACGATTTAGTAGGTAATAATAAGTTGGTCCACACACATTGATAATGCAGTTCATAGGATCTTATAGAAACGGCGTATTATAAAAAGCTGAATACAGGGAAATGTAACTATAGATCTGCGTTAGAATACGTGTTTATTTATTTATGCATATAATGATTTTATAAATTCGAGGAATAGATTGAATTACCAACCAAGTGGATGGTGGCGTTCTCTAGTTTGTCTCCTCCGATGAGTTCCTCGTTTTGGACCTGAGGTGGGAAATATTTTGGTATCAAATAGAACAATGTCATGCCGTTACTGATAAGATACAGGCACAATATGAAAATAAAATCTTTTTGTTGTCACTATTACATGATTCCTAAATACTTCTTTGTCATGGGATATCTCATAATCTTCAACTCTTACATTTTCAAATAAACTTGTGAGTATGTGATTCGATAGATGTAGGCAGAATTCAGCTACATCACAATGGGTTCTACCTATTATAGGGTATAATATTCGATTCATTCACCCCATCCCCGCGCTAAAATGTTTTAATCGTATCAAAGACCCATTTTTTGTACTTGATTATACTTATGGAAATATTAATGTGTAAGAAATGAAATAATCTAACCAGGTCCGTCAGTTGATGGATATGCAACTGTTGGGGGCACAGTGTAGTCTGCGATGGGAGGTGGAATACGACTCATCTCCTGGCGGTAGTCGGGAGAAACTGAAAATAAATTTTGACTTATTCCTTTTTGTGCGCTCAACTGTTATCTACGATTCTACGTTGAGCATATTCTTCAACCGAGATTTTTTCTCAAAATCTCTTAACAGATTTAGAAAACCTGTTAAAAATCGATGCCGTATCAGTAAATTAAAATGTGTTTGTTATGGTGATGTAACAGTTTGATCACATTCGTAAAAAAGCAAACATCTGTCGCATCATCCAATATGATTCCTGCTTTTGCTAGCTTTTCAAATTCTACTGTAACAATATGGCATCAATTTACTTTTTATTTTTATGACGACTTGACAATAATTATCACAACTTGGGTACATAGTATGAGTATTAATTTTATTTATACTTAACCCTTTTTAAGCCTCAAGCCCTGCCCATTTTATGGGTATTTTTAAACTTATTTTTTTATGTCAACCATTTATCCCTAAAGCTTTATTCATGGGTTTTTAAAAGCGTCTGCTAGAGTTCTATTCAGCAATATATCTTTAAAACACACCCCTCGAAAAAAATTTTTGCAAAAAATTTTCAAAAATTTCTAAAAAAAAAAATTGGACTTTGAGATATTCTGTGTACAGTAGAGGGTTAATAATTAATTCCTAATTAATTAATTTTTTCTTCAACGTTTTCGTCAAGTTTTTCCTAACATAACAATACCAAAACGACTATTATAGCATAAATGGTTATCACTCTGAAATTCACAATTGTATTTACAGTATTGTCAAGTTCAAGGTCAAATTACCGATACTGATGACGTCACAGCTCCTATTATTACTGCACAGACCACCCCCAATGCAAAAAAATTAAATTTTTTCGACGGAAATGCGCGTAGAACGGCGTAACCAATCTCATACGCGCATTTACGCGTTAAAATTACCATTAATTTTACGTTTTTTTTACATACAAAAAATCTCCATACCTCTGCCAACTATGGAGCATTCGAAATCATATTTATCAAATCAACACAGCGCCAGGGATGGTCAGGGATAGTTAGTATGACTGAAAATACATGCTAAAACAATAATAAGTCGTTATAAAGGAGTATTTCCTGTCTGAAGGGAGTCACATTTTTCAGACGTCTGACAGGTGATTTTGAAATCCAGGATATTTATAGGATTCGCACTTTGCGTCACGGCTGGAAGGTTTTATCGCTTCTCTCATATCAGGGCATTACGTCGATAAACAGCTAAGAGCGGTATTGACTCTATAAGTACATACATTTTACAATTTTTCTAACAGTACACCCATATGGGCGTTCCGGCTGTAGAAGGGTCTTTGTCATGGGATATCTCATAATCTTCAACTCTTACATTTTCAAATAAACTTGTGAGTATGTGATTCGATAGATGTAGGCAGAATTCAGCTACATCACAATGGGTTCTACCTATTATAGGGTATAATATTCGATTCATTCACCCCATCCCCGCGCTAAAATGTTTTAATCGTATCAAAGACCCATTTTTTGTACTTGATTATACTTATGGAAATATTAATGTGTAAGAAATGAAATAATCTAACCAGGTCCGTCAGTTGATGGATATGCAACTGTTGGGGCACAGTGTAGTCTGCGATGGGAGGTGGAATACGACTCATCTCCTGGCGGTAGTCGGGAGAAACTGAAAATAAATTTTGACTTATTCCTTTTTGTGCGCTCAACTGTTATCTACGATTCTACGTTGAGCATATTCTTCAACCGAGATTTTTTCTCAAAATCTCTTAACAGATTTAGAAAACCTGTTAAAAATCGATGCCGTATCAGTAAATTAAAATGTGTTTGTTATGGTGATGTAACAGTTTGATCACATTCGTAAAAAAGCAAACATCTGTCGCATCATCCAATATGATTCCTGCTTTTGCTAGCTTTTCAAATTCTACTGTAACAATATGGCATCAATTTACTTTTTATTTTTATGACGACTTGACAATAATTATCACAACTTGGGTACATAGTATGAGTATTAATTTTATTTATACTTAACAGAATAACAATTCGAACGAGGGGGTCTAAAGCGAAGACAAAGGGTACAAATAAATTCCTTAATTCTATTTGACAAAAATATAACCATTATATTTTACATACCACTTGAAATACGATATCCAGGAAACTGTCTTTCATGCGCATCAAATTCTGTAAATATACAATGATAAATTGAGGTACTGCCATATTTTTTGACTCATTTTCTCTTTTGTAAAGAATTGGTATACAACGCTAAATTTTGAGCAGAGTTCTCAAATTCAGTGCGGAGATAATTGACTATCCATTGATGAAACAAGTTCATAATTGCCTCATTGTCATGCTTCCCAAAAGGATGATTACACAAGCGGAGTGAAATTATGAAAAGCTATTATGTTCTAAAAGTAAAGGCATTGAATATCTCCCCGCACCTGTTCTCGCAACGTATTGATTCCGTCGGTACCCTTCGCTTTGATTGTAATCAGAGTATTGTTGATGCACATATCTAGCATTCGGTTCTTCTTGAACTGAATTATAAAGCGTTTAAAAATGAAATTGTTGTATTACCCAATCTGGTGTATAATTCAGTGACAAGCGTGTTACGTCGCAGGGAAAAAATTCTTATGTTTCAAACCACTAACCTTTCGACGACGAGTGTAGTTGCTGGTTCGTATATTGTTCACCTGCAAATATTAATGTTTTCGTGTGAGTACGTGTCTATAAAATTGTGTTAAAATGTTCAATCATAAATTAGAGATTAAACTATGTTGAGTCGTCGTAGTCGTCACAGCTATTTTGCGACCATGACCACTACTAGTCAGGGTAAAAAGATTAGATGAGATCAATGAAACCAACCAATCGCTGGCAAAAGTCTTTCAAATTAATAATAAAAGTCAAAGAATTTTAAAAGAGACGTTCGAAAATATTTTAAATTTGCGGTACAATATGAAATAAAATGCGTCGTAAATAACTCGAAAATAATTGCCAAGCAGAAATCTAAATACTCACATTATATTTAATCATATTTAGATACCAACCTTGGTTCGAATTCGGATAGACTGGGTTCTTTGTAAAAATACCAGCTCTGGATTTTCTTGAAAATGTTATTTCTTGACGATCACCTGTCAACGTATAATATACTTGAAATGTATACTGAATTTAGGAACCACGCCAAGAAAATATGGAAAAAAAAATATGGTTTTATTAAAATGCAATTTTTAGTAAAATATGATGATAAATATTCATCATGTGGGATATTTACGATTGTTCTAATATTCCTCGTGATTGTTCTTATTCATATGTTAAAAAAGTAAATGGTTTATGTGGTATTCGTTGTGCCCACGGAGATCAAGGCTCTGTCTGGAGATATGAAAACTCTCATGAGAACCCGCTTTTGAGAACAAAGTACATAAAAAATAGTAATACCAATCAAAGGAAATTTATGTACCAGGTTATGTGACAGACCTACCTAGGGGCGTATAATACATTTCTCCGTAATTCATTGGCCCTCTTCTGCTGTTGTTCTTTCCAATGTCATTTTTTATTGGGTACCCTTCTTAAAAAATCAAAATTTATTTAAGTTGGATTTGTCAATTCGCGCTACACTTCTGATTAATCAGATTATTTGTCCTGACTCACACACGAGTTACTTTTTCTTACTACGATGTGTTAATATTATTTGTGTTTGAATATTTTCGGTAGTAGTGGTATTTTTCATTTGCTACGCAAAATCAAATCGAAAATGAATCTCAAAGAGCAGAAAAAGCGTATCAAATAATCATGTCAGATGGGCTTGCAAATTGACTATTTTCTTTGGGGGTCTGCTATCTTCATATTTTCTGTATGGTTATTTTATTTGACAATTTTATTCTCACATTTTTTAACAATGAATATTGTCGAAATTTGTAAGATAAAGTCATGCCAGACCAGAAGATTTCGAAGTGAATAACATTCATGTATAGGAATTCACATTTTGACTATTCATTTTTTATATTATTGGTATTGGTAACAATAATATTAAGCCACCTTCAAATCTCGGCGTTGTTAAAGCATCAACGGCGGATGAAGTATCCATGTCTTCACTGTCAGTGGGACCTTTTGTATAAAAATTTAAATGAAGTAAAATGATTATCATATAAATAAGAAAAAATTTGAATTAGATAATGTGGTAAACTGATTAGCTTCTATTGTAACAACGAAAAGCAAAAGGAGGGCAAGCCAAACCGGTACATACAAAAAAGCTAAATTTATATAATTTTGGATATAATAAAAATATATCAGAACACCGTTCTTAAAAAACCGTAAAGAGAACAAGCGAGAGTCGTCGCAATGTGTTCATTTTGACAAACTTCAACAAATCAAGACAATACAATAATTCATTACTGTTTAGTTTAGGTTTAATATTACACTCACATTAAATGTTTTAACCTTTTTACAGTAATTATTTAAATTTGCAGGTATGCTTCGGTAATTTTACGCATACGTAAGTGAACTTATACTTAAAACCTAGTTTCTTACGGTGATGGGGCACTTCAAAAATACCGTATAACTTTACAAGATATTTAATGTCAAATAACATCACATCATGATTGACAGATGTTTCACAGGCAAATACAATAAACATATTACCATATATATATATATATATATAGAGTTAACAAGAGGCAAGCAGACAGAATGCATGAAACGTCCGTAAAAAATACCTACAAGGCAAGAGAGGACGGAATTTTGATATGCGTATCATACATGGAGTGCATGGAAAATTCTCGTTAAAAATGTACTAAAACCTGGGTGCGTATTATCCACAGGTGCGATTCACAGAGAAATATGGTAATTAGTTGTGATCGGTACATACAATTATCGATCATTTCTTCGTCCTCCGAACAATACTGATCTTCACTTGACGAAATATCGTCCTGTAATAAATAGGAAATACAATACTGCTTCTCTGTATCGTTTTTTTTTTGTTGAAAATTTTGAATCTTTTCGGTTTCAATCAAGTATAACTACGATAGGTAAGTACTTGAATACTAGAAATAAAAGTTTTAAACATCTTTATTTTAGAAAATTCTAATTTTCTGCATCGTTTCACTTATAATTATAAAATTTAAATGTAATATTGCTTATTGCATTTCATATTACACACATACATAGAAAAAATAAATAAAAACCTTACTTGATAAACTGGATATCTGTTTTTGTTGCGTTTTTTCTAAAAATGAACGCACTTTACATCCATATCTACAACTAGCATTAGACGAAATGTACATAAATGTGACTATGTAAGCACGTCAGAGTCAGATTGTTTCATTTATTTATACGTATTATTCATAATAATCAAATCTAAACATGTGAGCCACGGAACATCATAATATATCGACTCCAAACAACTTTTTTACATGGCGTACTCCGAATTGATAAATCGGATGAATATTTTAAGAATGGTAATCTATATAATTGCCATATTATAAAGTATATTTAAACTTTATCTCTAAGCTGAGTGTAAACGGCAAAATATTTGGTTTGTGTGAAATTGTATAGGAACTTTTGTTCAAAATAATAAATTAATACTTTTGGACGGAATTGGTTTGAAATTGCAAGTTTTGCGGCTTTCCGGTGACTTTCAGGTACATATGACAACAATCTATCAGTCACTCTTCTAAGTAAGCTATTTCCATTCTGAAAATACATTTACCTGTGCTTGATGATAAATTTATTACAGTATTTTATTAAAATCATAATAAATCTCGATTTCTGGAAAACAAATCTAATATTGTTAAAAATTTTGAATTTGTTCAAAACGTTGAATTGTGTTATTCAGTATTAAAAAAGTGTAAAACCCATTTTGTGGCTCTGTACAAATGCTTATCCTAGCCAGATATATAAAATCGTCAATGAATCTACAAACCTGATATGCTATGAGTGAGCTGTTCACTGCAGGCTTAGTCTTGAACCATTTGATCGCTAATTTCTGAAATTTTTTTGGTTGTAGTTAGATCTTCGACCATTTACAAAAGTTCTACAATATCTATTCATATATTCAACAATATGATTTTGCATTTTACATATATTTAATATCCATATATTACTACTATGCATTAATATATTTTGGCTTTTTCGGTCTATGAGGTTCTTTTGGGGTGCAATATGGTTCAGTAGCAAGATGTCGCTGACAGGATAACTTTGGTACATTTTTGGTACATTAGAAAAGATAATAAAGGTGAGAATCTAAAACGTTTCAATTTGTATCACTACCTTTGAAGATTGTGCTTGTTGCAGCGATTGTTTGTCTGCTTCAGTAAACTGCTCTTTGGTTTTCTACATCTTTCAAGTAAAGTTTCTTCTGAACTTTATTTTCCATCAAGATATTCATCAGTAATTCAAAACTTTTTTCATCAATAACATTGTCATTTATATTAAGTAGTTGCATCTGTTGCAAATAGAAGAATACATGTAGGGAATACATATATAGATAGCTAGTGTTTACGCGCGCTTAACAACTAATTACTTTATAACCTGACTTTCGCAGTAACGAATGGAACGCAATAACGTGAAAATGTGATTTTCTTTCTGCTCCGACGGAAGCTCCAAACTTGCTATAATCCCTCGGTCAATCATGTCACGGAGAAGTTCGACACATCTACCATCACATTGATTTTCCCTGATATCCAATGACAACGGCTGTTTTGTTGTTTGAAAAAAAGATTACATTTTCATACTGCAGATGGAAATTTCATGGAATAGGATCAGTGTGAATAAATACGATTCTGAAGGGAAATTGTACACAATGAAATAATTAAACGAATATCACTACTCACCGTTGTGTCAACGTACGGGTTGCTTGAAATAGCCTGAAGTAGTCTTGCCAGATCATCCGCAGTTTCACAGCATTCTCGTACACTTATTTCCTGCAGTCGATTTCTTTTCATCAAATTAATCAGCAGATTTAACTCTGGGTATTCAATACGATCCAACTTGATGACTTTGTGAAAAAACGGTTGCTTAATTTTATTCAAATCTTTTTTGATTTTTTCCAAATCTTTGGAGCTTTTAATTTCTTTTGAGACCAGTTTTTTTGTCGACATTATGAGAGCTGCAATTAATATTTCTGACCACTAAAGTTTAAACATAAATACAAAATGAAAATTAGAACTCAAACTAATGTTTCTCAAAAACGATGGATGTGCGTCCTATTTATAAAGAGTTCTAAACGCTTATCACTTAGTGGGTACATATGATTGTGATATCAATCACCTACCTCCCCCAATCCTATCCAATATAAATAACTATGTTTTTATTGTTCCTTTCGGATATTAGACCTAATTGAGAATAAGTTCGCGGCTATTATCACAAGTTGAAAAAAAAAGAAAATTTATCACCACAACCGACAAAATATGCTTTTAAACAAGAATTTTTCAAGACGTCAGCAATCAGCATTCTGTTAAATTTAGGTTTTTTTTCATGTACTTGAAGGATCTTCTGCGTGTCTATTCGACAGAATTTATAGACCATCGATTTTGAAAGACATTCATGGTTCCGCTTCTCTTTGTTTCGGACACCATGACGTGGTTGTAATGTATTCCTTGGAATCAAATTACACAAATTCTACAATGTCATCATGATGCAACGCGTAGCAATAGGAATTTCTTTTCATGTACCTGAAGGGCCTCCTGCGTGTCTATTCAACAGAATTGGTATATCATCGATTTGAAAGGCCTTCGTAGTTCCGCTCCTCTTTGTTTCGGACACCACGACGTGCTTGTAATATATTCCTTGGAATCTTTTTCTCAAGGCTGCTTGTTGTCTGTCTTACCGATCTATTATTTTAGGCTAAGACTGATAAAGCGTGGGCCCTTCAATAACGCATATCGATGCGTTTTGTTGAACATGTTTCACAACCTAAGTTAAAAAGTGAAATAAAATCAATTTTGCGTTTTATTGACTGATGCGAATTTGAAGATTTTACCTAATTCTAAAATTTACATTTATGGGATGCTTAATCAATCGCAAATAGACAAAACCCCTGACGACTTGAAGCACCCAGCCACATACAGGTGCAGCATTTGGCAAAACTTATACTTTGTGGGATTTTATTTTTGTGTGAGATCAAAAGTACAAGGGGATGAGCCCGACTGTAACCTCGTAGTCTGCGGTGGGAGGTGGAATACGACTCATCTCCTGGCGATAGTCGGGAGAAACCGAAAATTTATCTTTGACTTATTCCTTTTTGTGCGCTCAACTGTTATCTACGATTCTACGTTGAGCATATTCTTCAACCAAGATTTTTTCTCAAAATCTCTTAACAGATTTAGAAAACCTGTTAAAAATCGATGCCGTATCAGTAAATTAAAATGTGTTTGTTATGGTGATGTAACAGTTTGATCACATTCGTAAAAAAGCAAACATCTGTCGCATCATCCGATATGATTCCTGCTTTTGCTAGCTTTTCAAATTCTACTGTAACAATATGACATCAATTTACTTTTTATTTTTATGACGACTTGACAATATTTATCACAACTTGGGTACATAGTATGAGTATTAATTTTATTTATACTTAACAGAATAACATTTCGAACGAGGGGGTCTAAAGCGAAGACAAAGGGTACAAATAAATTCCTTATCTATTTGACAGAAATACAACCATTATATTTTACATACCACTTGAAATACGATATCCAGGAAACTGTCTTTCATGCGCATCAAATTCTGTAAATATACAATGATAAATTGAGGTACTGCCATATTTTTTGACCCATTTTCTCTTTTGTAAAGAATTGGTATACAACGCTAAATTTTGAGGCAGAGTTCTCAAATTCAGTGCGAAGATAATTGGACTATCCATTGATGAAACAAGTTCATAATTGCTTCATTGTCATGCTTCCCAAAAGGATGATATACAAGCG